ATGATTGCGGAGTAATTACTCCTTGATAACGTTATGCAGGGTCATAACGAGCGCTTCATTCTTTCACGAAATTAGCATACTAGTTATGATAATTGGGTGCGTGGGCGGTTGTAATAATCATGCGCACGACCGAAATTCTTCGGACTACGTAAATTCTTTCGCAGCCGGCAACTCGTACGCTTAGCCTCCTTAGCTTTAACGCGTAAGCGTTTCTTTCACAACGATTTCTGTGGTTCATTCGCTTATTAATGATTTCCGGACTAATTTGTGACAACTTGAAACGGTTATTTACTGGCCTGAGCAGTTGCGAAAGATATTTTTATCGGCGCGCGACAAAACGGTTTCGTTCTTTTTTCTCCCCTTATTACGTGCTCCGAATATTGTCTCATTAGAGGCGTTTTCGTCGAATCACGTGCGCGCAGATCGATTATACAATCGAGGCCTCGAGGAAGTCCGCGTACAATATCGCAATTTGCGATATTGTACTCCCAATACAATTAATAGTCATCCTCCTGCTCGTCATTTCCCATCCCGTATGAAATCGGACGTTTCCTGCTCGCGCTTTTGCGTAACGCGACCGACCGGGTATATGCAGAGGAGCTCGCGCACGCGTTATATTCTAGGAACAAATAGACGCGGTTTCTCTTAGCATAATTTTGCATAGCCGTTCCGTCTCATCACGCTTTCAGCTTTATTAACGGAACGATAAGCGTTACAAATATATGCAACGCCTGCTTGCCATCTTAATCGCCTTCCCCGGCGACAAACAAGACTGCGTTTCCTGTTGCTGCGCGAGAGGACGAAGCAGGCTGAAACGCGCTCATCGACAAAATGTTCCGCGACAACGACGACGGCTCCGACGGTGGACAATCTCGAATTCCGTTACTCGATCTTATTCGATTTCCGTGTCTTGTTCTAGAATGATTTTAGAGGAAAGCGTGCCAAAAACCCGCATGTCTCGTCTGAATACGTATGCAGATAACGGGGATTCTCCCCCTCGGCGGGGAGAACGAGTCTCGGACATTGCATCATGTCGCCGCGCATACGTATAATTAAATACCTGCGTGACCCGTCGATAAACGCGACCGCGTATTTATTTCTCAAACCTTGATATGCACGCGCGCCCGTCGCCATTCTGAATGGTTTTTCCGTTCCGGTATTATCGACGGTTTTAATTTTTCGATCAATCGCGCGCAACAAATCGCACACCGGCTTATCTTAAAGGCCAGACAGGCAACTTTATTATCGCGAATTCTTCGTTTTTCATTCACCCCTGGAACAAGGATTTTTCTCGTTTTTTGCCTTGCGAAAGAAAGTCGAAGTATCGAAACGCGGAATATTGCATTATGAATACGTCCCGAAGTCCCTTGGACGGAATTGTGAATCGCTCGCAACAACGGACTGCGAGCCGAAACTCGTGGCCCGATAAAATCGCGGATACGTTCTCGTCGCTCGCACGAGTCGAGTTCGCAAAAAAAAAGAATTGCGGTCGTGAGAAGCATTCATGGTCATCGCCGACCCATGGCACAGATTCCTGCAGTTTTATAGGGCCGTTGCATCAGCGAAGAAATAAAAACGTCGTGTGTAACATGCGCGCGAATCTCGCAGTGGTCGAGAAGATACCGGCGATATCGCGATCATAAAGTGTGTCTCTCTATGCAAAAGTACGTGCAAGAACGCACAGAGAGAGAGAGAGAGAATGTCACTAAAAATTATAGTCATTTCCGGAGCCGGCCATGCTTGCTGTAGTTTTAACAAAAAGCAGTAATAATAATATGCACATGAGATTATTATCAACAATATTATTATAGCATTTACTTAAATGAATTTCCCAATTACAATTATTTTATTTTGCGATTATATATAGAGTATATTTGAACTCTATCTACAAACTTACAAGACGGATTCTATGCTGAAAAAAGGTCTTAGTAAACATATATTCGCAAAAGCTTAGTTTTTCAGGTATAGCTTTCATAAGATGACAACGACGGGCGAAAATTTATCTCTATAAAAGGGTTAAAAATACGGACTAATACAGAAGTTTTTATCTGTTTTTGAAGATAATATTTATCAATTTTGATGCTTTTTAATATTAATAAAAGAATAATTTATTGTGACGTTAGTAAATTATTACCGTTTGTCGTGAGTGAAAATAACAAAAAATATATTATTTACATCTGTAGATGTTAATTATGCATTGCTAAGGGAAACAGACATTTTGGAAAATTTTTATAACAGTATTTTTATAACAATATGTGTTTAGTTATTTATTTATAAAACATGATTTAGTGAATAAATTATATCTTTTTAAACTGAGATTTATTTTTTTTGCGGCAGCTATATTTCGGAAACTAAGCGATAAGGACATATATTTACTAAGATTTTTTTTTGTTTATTTTTTTTATATAGAATCTATCCTGTGAGTTTCTGCACTGAGAAACCCATTTAGTTGATTCAACTCAATAGGTTTCTCAGTGTGTCGATGGAATTCAGATACATCCTGTTTACTTTTTCTTCTCAATGCAAGAGTGACGGCCGTTCGTTGGTCGCTTGCTCCTCTTGGTTTTAATTTTGATTTTTCAAATATGTATCTTGAATGAAGTCGTTAACGATCGCAACGAGTCCGTAATGTCTACATCGTGTAGAAGGAAACGCGAGAAATTTATACCGAGAGAAAAAAGTGGTCAGTCTTGTTAAAATTATATAGACACTTTCCTTGTTAGCCATATTTTCTTGTTTTAACTAAAGAGTAGTAGTAGCAATTTGTATATAATAGTGTTAGTGACAGTAAGATTGTCACTAACACTATTACTACAAAAAATAGCTTTCTATTTTGTAATCACTTCACTATCTAATTACAGTCATGCATATTGAATATTTTGTTCTCAGTACTTCGATAATATGCTTCGATATAACAAAATGGGTCTCGAAATGAATTCTCGTTTTCTTGTAAATCTTGTTTCATTGAGTGCTATTTATTAATAACGACTGACGATTACGCAACACATACAGGAAAAAAAAACTATATTAGCGCGCTCGTTATGAAAATCGAAATTTTCCTATCCGCGCGTTGTCATGGTACCTCTCGCTCTGACTTTTATTCCAATTACTTGAATTATATCGCATTAGATTATCGAGACAGCTACTGCTAGAGAGAAAGCAAAAAAGTGCTCGTGTTTACCGCGAGTAGTTTCCCTGCGCGTACGTACGCGGCGAAAATAAACGACTCACGCGGCGATAATTCGGGGTACAGAAAGCGGCCGTCGTTCGTGAAATTCAGCGTATGTAGGACTGCGGCGGCGCGAGTGATAGCCGACTAACATTATTTCGAAGGGATTTAAACGGTTCGCGCGGGGAACCGGTTCTCTCCGTCTCATGCGCATGACGCCGAGTAATGGAATTCCTTTAAGTACCGTTCAGAATTGCATCAGGACCCAAGGTCGCTATAAGTATCTCTCTGGAGACTCCGATCCTTATCTGCGCGAGCGCTGTACTACTACCAGGTGCAATAATAACGTATCACGGTGCGATCGATCGAGAGAGGAGAGCGATCGCGAAATAGCCAACAGACCTTCGTACTTCGTTGAGGGACGAGCAGCGCTCGTTTGTGAACCCGACCGTATTACGCGACGCGCATTTTGTTTCTTGCCGGTCGCGATTCGCCTTTGCATGTAAGGTCGCGCACCAACACGCGCGCGCGCGAGACGTGAAAAAAAAACCGCAGTGTCATTCAGCTCCAAAGGATACCGTCTCGTACCATTCCCGATGTCGTAATTCAAGCGCGGCGTGAGCGAGATCATTGTGGGTAAAGATTGCTGGCTGCTATTCTCCGCCGAATCATGGCTGGAAGTTATTTTATGACTCATGGGAGTTGTAATATTCAAAGATACTAAAAGATAGAGTTCCGGGGAAAGAATGACTATAAAATGGGAGATTGTAATGATCAAGTCGCTTCGATCTTTGCTCTTTCTCTTTTTCTCTGATCATATCGTAAAACATCCACTTGTAATTGACTTGGATAATATTCAAATTTCTATATCATTTCGTATTTATCGGGTGTAATTTACGAACAAGGCACAAATTAAAGTTTTATTTTATATGGCCTGAGTATAATTTTGAAGGTTCGGGAATGAACCGTTTTTTTTTAATTTTTCCCCAGATTTTTTTGGTTTCTTTTTCAAGAATAGAAAAATTCGTTTTGAAAAATTCGTAATACTGCTTAACATATAACGTATTAATTTCATTTAACTTCAATTAAGTGCACGCAATTAACTTCTTTTTACAGAGAGAAGTAAATGTGGCAGATTTTAATCCGTAAATGGACGTGTGGAAATTAAACTGACCCACAAACCTATGAACAAATGAAAGTTTCTCCGTTTTTGTCTGCGACATCGACGCTTTCAGTAACTTGTTTCCATCACTTACTCTATGATTTAGCGAAATAACGTCAATAACACTCGAGAAATTCAGTCATGAACAACAATTATTTTATTTCTCGGAAAGTTACGCATTTACTAGACACACATTTTTCTACGAATTTCTCTACTTTTGGGAAAAAAATGGAAAAAAATCTGCGGAAAGAAACTGGGCTTTTAAACTATACCTGAATGCAATATTGAAAATGGTCTGGTCAAATACAACTGTATTTGTCTGTCGAATACAACTGTACGTGTACTTTTATGTCCCACTATGTACAACTTTGATGATATCGACTTGTTAAAAATGTTCAGTCCACTTTATATTCACGAAGATATAACATACGACCAGGAGAAATTTAAATTGGTAATTTGGACTATGCTTCATACATCAGTTGTACTGGTTTGCGGGATCGCTAGATCACTCTGAGAATAATCCGTATTGTACTTTCTACTTTTACAATTCTGATTTCGAGGAATAAAGTATAAGTAAAATTCCAAAGAAAACGGAACTGCGATAGGAGAAAACAGAATGTAGGAATAAATGATCGTGCGATGATTGATCTTCACCGTCCACTGTTTCAGAGCACAACACAAAAGTCCATCGGCTCCAACGATTCGACGCACAGCGACAGCACCACCGCGGCGCAGACGACGACGGCGATGACGACGAGCAGCAACAACAACAGCGGTAACAACGAGAGCAGCATGCGGGAGAACGGCAACAGTGTGAGGAACAACGATGTAGACCACGTGCACGGTACGGGTAATGGCAGCGTGGGCAGCGAGCCCCGGCAGGGTCTGAACTTGAAGATGAGCGCGAAGGAGCTCAGAGCCCAGCTGGCGGCGCGCAAGAAGTACGATCCGAAGAAGGAGTCGATCGGCTTCAAGGACAAATTCGATATCGTGCAGAAACTGTAGACGACAGTACTACCCCCGTCACGAGCGTCTGTCTGTCTGTAACCCGAACGATTCTTCTCATTCCTTTCTTCCTCGTCGTCCTTGTCGCCGTGTTATCATCGTCATCGTCGACGTCATCGTCATCGAACGCCACGACGATTGCTCCTCCTCTACGTAATGTATCGCACCATTGCAACCGATCAAATTCATTGCGTTGTGAGAAACGTACGAAATACACATACATACACATATATACACCGCTGCGTGGACTGTCGCGCGGACTTACGTCGTCGTCGATGCCGATATCGTAACGCTCACGCATTGGATCTGCAAAGAGATAGAGGAGGCTGCGGATTAGATTATAGACTTACGGACTATTACAGGTCGGGAGACCGAGAGAATGACGATGTCGTTTGCACGGGTGTAAGTACACAAGCTGTTCACTTTCGGCCTTACCGTCCACACGGATCTTACGTGTTGCGTAATTTCAATTTTTCCATCCGTGCCGGAAACTACGGCGAATCACCAGTTATTATCATGTCACAATGTTTGATATAGGAGCTATGTAATAAAGGGATTTTTTCTTTCTTTCTGTTTCAAGAATTGCGCGCCCTTCGGTTTTATTGCAAATCTTTTTTCTGTAACTGCTGTTGCAGCGGCCCAAAACTATTCAACATTTTCTCCCGGGGCAACAATTTAGTTCTGTTTTAGTTTTGATGCGCTTTTCCTGCTGTAAATAATTAGGACATTTCCCATACACGTACATAGGCACACACACACATGCGCGCGCGCGCGCGCGGTTAATGAGACATTAAACCTGGATCTTTCGACTTGATCACCCATAGTGCCGCCACAACTGAGCCCCTAAGCATCGTCTATTAAATTTGGGAGATCCGTTTGCCGTTTCTTCCCACGACTTTCTCCGGCGAGAATTTATCGCTGCGTCCTGATGTAGTAATCATTCCCGAACATTACGTCGATCGAGCGGATTTTTAGGAGCGACAAAAAAAAAAGACAGTCCCGACACAACTCCTCGCGGAATTCCCGGACCAATTGGAGATTCGCCTAGACGTTCGACTTATATAATGCCCAAACCGAGAGACTATACCGCGCAGGTAATGAAGCGCGGGGAGTTAATTCAGCCGTCGTTCGTGTAAATCAAAGAACACACCAAGTATCTTTACACGGAATCTTAACGAATGTTTAAAATCTTAAATAACGCTCCCTCATCGAAAACTATCTTACCGTATTTAAATAATTCCGATAGATTTTTCGTAAATATCCACTCTGAAAATCTCAGTCTCGATCCGCGATGCGAATGCTAACCGGTTAATTAACTCGCCGCGATTTACTGGGTTCTGCTTTCGGGCAAGGCTGTGTGTAATGGGATTAACGTGGTTGCCGGGACGCTTTTGATGTCGACACGCGGGGAATTTAACGCGCGAGTTCTCTCGATAATCTTGCGCGAAGCGTAGAAAATGTTCGCGCGTGACCCGAGCGCGAGCCCCGACTCGCCGTTGCGAAACGCCGCGTCAATTTCGACTGCATTCGGCGAGCTCCTAGTTGTACTCGCGCCTTAAGGACTCGCAAGGACGGACGTTCTTCGCGCGCGCGCGCGTGTGTGTGTGTGTGGGCGCGCGCGTGCGTGCTGCAATGGGTCTAAGAAGTCGACTGCGTGGCCCAAGGACGGGCGCGTCGATGTGGGAGAAGAAAGTACAGTGCCGTCGAGCGAAGTCTCTTAATCTCCTTGTTATCGAATTCGGGACGTTCTTGCCGTTGCGCGTGGCAAAATTATCGCAACACAACCGGATCGGCGCAGAAATCGAACTGATCTTGCTGACTGTAAAAATCGATAATTCGTTATAATTCGTTATAAATAATTGACATAGTTGCGAAAGTTTTACAATTTTTCATACAATAATTAAGACAATTTTGCAGTACTTGATAATTTATCGAAATTAAGATTGAAATAATAACCGCAATCGGTGGATGCAGCAGTTTAAATAACATTGTGGCACACAACTCGATGTACGGCACTGCGAGACCGGCGCGAGTTAGCCGACCGAATTAAGACATTTTTCACCGCGTTCCTCGAGTTTAATCGCGTTTTCAGTGTTTCAATTATACGATAAGATTAAACAGCGATTTCATTCTGAATGCCATTTTTGTTTCGAAGGAAATGTTTAACGTGGTAATAGAAGAGATAACTTGATTCTCATTTGCCGATAAGAGGCATCGGATAATCGATAAATATGTTAGTTTAACATTAGTGAATCATTAATCGGATTGCTAAAACTCGTCTGAAACAATTGTCATTACGGTACACGTTATCGTCCGGTTGCTTCAGATGAAATTAAAATTTCAGAGCTGCCTCATTTGCATTGCATCACTTGCAATTATTAATACACACAATGCAGTGCAATTTTTGTCAATGCATTTCCAGTTTACTAGTTTGTGAGAAACTGTAGTTATTTTTCCAAAATTACGTTTCGATAATGTCGCAATTTTGATGATTTTACACTCACATTCCGAGAATTGTAAAAAAAAACGAGAGAGAAAAACGTGAACTTCGGTATACACAACGCGAGAAAAAGAAGAAGAAGAAGAAGAAGAGAGAGAGAGAGAGAGAGAGAAGACCAATTTTTGAAGGAAAGAAAAAATCGCGTACACAGCTTGTCTTCTCCAGGCACGCGTTTTTTCTCGCGTCCCTTCTTCTTTATATCATTCTTCTCGTCTCCACATTTCTTTTTGTCGTAGCATCCGGTTAACAACTGCCACGGTCGTTGATTGCGGCACGCCTCGTGGGAAAACACGCTGACGTCCTTCGAATTACTTTTATATATATATATATATATCGTTTGACGCATTCCTTATTCATTTATATGCGATGCAACGCGAGAGAACATCACACGGTAAAGACGCGACGCGAGAGAAGTTGGAGAGAGAGAGAGAGAGAGCGAGAGCGAGCGAGCGAAACTGGCAATTAACGTCGGCGTGAGTCGACAATAGAAAATATGACGCGAGCGTAATCTCAATTGCTTAACATCGTTGGGAGAACCAATCGACTTTGAGGCGATACACCACGACACGTCTGTAAAATTTACTTTTAACATCTCACACGAACATACCTATCGGGAAAAATTCCGAACAAGCGACCTATAAATAGCAAAGGCGGACTTCCTTGAACGTTACTCAGCGTGCATAAGATGGTGGTGATCTCTGTTCCGAACGGAACGGGATTAATTAAACCGCGGCTTCTACGAACGAGTAACGAATATTATCAGAGCGACGATAAGCGAATACGGTACAAACAGGTACTCGGCTGAAATTTATAACTCGTGCTGTGCCGCGTTCGATAACCGGCCAAATGTGTTGCGTAATCGACAGGAATGTCGCGCCTACAATGACGAGACAGAGAGAGAGAAAGAGAGAAGCCGCCTTTCAGGATTCCACCTTCGCCTGCTCGGTGTATCGCGTCGAGACTCGCGGAAAAGTTAGGTACATAACGACTCGTTGCTAAATATTACGACGACGCCGTTGCGCAACCTTCAATTATTGCCGCTCATCGTCGTCGCCGTCATCGTGTTGTCGTCGTTATACGTTTACCTGTTCGCGCCGAAGCGCGCAGGCGTCGCATTTTCCCGAGATATTGTACCTTTTTCCATAAATGCGAGCGAGCGAGCGAACGAACGAAGCTACGTTATCTGCCGGATTAGCTCCAGCGATATGGAGGTTGGCGTAACTTGCAATTTTATCAGGGAGAGGAGGAAGGGATATTTTATTATGCGCCTATTGATACTTGAGGTCACTTCTTATTGTTGCATTTCGCAGCACTCCCTGCAACTTCTAATATTTTAGAGTGACTTATGAGAAAGTGCTAAAATAAAGAGGGATAAGGAATTTTTCTTTTTTACAATTATTTTCTCTTATAATTATCTTTACATGTTTATCGTTTATTTATATATTTACATGAAATCAAGCGCATTGTTGTCGCACATATACATAAGCTGTTGGCAGCAGAGTTAGGCGCGAAGAATATTCTTCCTCTCCTTGATAACGCTGGGATCGAGCGGATGGTCCTATGTCACTGGTGAATGAAACCGAAAAGACCGAGTTTTCTTAAAAAGAATGTCAACTCCAAGTTCTTCAAAAAGTATCATTAAGGTCTTATCCGGCGCGGTGAGGCATCGCCTTGCTTGTAAGACGTTGATACACAGTTCCCGCGCGATACGCCGACTTACGGACTTCCACTGTGGCAAAAAGTAGAAATAAGAGAGACAGAGGAGCTAACGGAATATCTGGAAATATTTGTTGCGTCTGGGCTTCATTAATCGGCCGCGATCTGTCGCCAATCGTTGTGCAAACGTTTAATCAGCGCGCTTAGAATTTAAGTGGCGTTACCAACTGTAAGCAAGTTCACAACGTCGTTAATGTCGCGTCATTCAGCCGGGGCTGACAATGCCTCCTCGTCGCGGTGGCAATTTGCTCTCGTGTTACAGAAGCATAAGAGCCCCTCGAGAGAATCGGCTTTTCTCTGAACTAGTGCGATATGGAGAACGCGCGAGTCCGAACAGTCTGAGCGAGCGCTGTAATTAATCACGAAAATAGCGACTCTAAGCAGCGTCGACGTCAAAAGCTGCCCCGCGTATGCGTGTGCGTATTGTGTGCTAATTGCATTTGGTATGTATACCCACCGTTATGTCATTGCGTGGCATGATTCGAAGTGAAAGTATAACGAGGTATCGCGCGAACTTACCATCGTCGCGGAGCGGACACGGCCGATGTACGAAAACGCACCACGTTTACGTGCGATATATTTCTCCGAGACTGACCGTTCCGAATTTCGCGCGATGATGATTATGATGATGATGATGACGACTACGACGCAAAGTGAGCGATGAGTTATTCGCGCCGGAGAAATCGCCTCGAAGGATCGTTGCGATTATGCCTTCGCACTTAATACCTAATTAGACAAACCAAACGAAAAAGAAAGGAGAGAGGAGCGTCGTTGCTATAACCGAACGACTTGGAACAGCAATTTTTTAGGCAGAAACAATTAAGGCCAGATGAAACCTCGCGTCGACGTCGCGGCACGCAGCGCGATGCGTCTCTCACTCGAGAGAAATCAAGAACAATGTAAGAATTGAGCAAAACGATCGAAATAGAAAACGAAGTTTTGCTCATTGCTCGGAGAAACTGCGTTGGGGGAATCGTGAATAAGTCGTTTTGTTATCTGCGAGCTGCATAAATAGGTCCGAAGATCGCTATATTATCGGCAGCAGTCGAGAGAGGGAGAGAGGGGGAGGGGAGGGTAAGAGAACGTCGATATAAATTTTTACATTTTTCTTTTTCCCGATAAATAGCTGGTGACCAATTTTCGGTAGAAAATGGTTCTCCTTTCGCGACGTGTTTTCTTGTGTGCGCCGCATAGTAGATCGAACTGCATGAAAATGTGGACGTCAGCTCAAAAGTTTTTTTTTTTTTTTTCGAATCATGTTTTTAATTATAAATTTGGTTACTTGAAATGTCAAAGAAATAATATATAATCATTATTTTCAAAAATATTATATCCAATCTGTGCGTAAAATGATCATAAACATTACGAGTTAGACAATTGGATTTCCATTAATTTAGTTATCTACTTTCAAAACAGTATATTGCTTTTCAGCTTGTATATTATCACATCAACTTTTTTACGGCAATTCTTTGGCTTGTAAAAAATTTATAACTGAATCAAAGAATAGTTTACAGTTTGACGATTTTCGATTTTACGTCTTGAAGAAAAACTCTGATTACTAAATTATAAATTAACGTTGAGAAAGTTTATAAAATCTTAAACTTTGATTTGTCATATTTGATTAAAGGGATGTTCCACTTCGTTAAATGACAATTAATTCGACGAGAGTCCAAAATTGTCCAACTCGGAATATTTATGGTCATTTTACACACAGATTGTAACATTTTTGAAAATAAGAATTGTATATTATTTCTATGACAAATCAAGTAACCAAATTTGCCACTGAAAACCTGATTCGGAAAAAGAAGTTTTCGAGCTCACGTTTTTCATTTTCACGCGGTTTGATCCACGAATCCGATCCATAAATCGATCCGTGCGCCGTTCTAATTAAGATCAAGGAGCCGTTAGTGGACGGGATATGGGAGGAAACGTGGCACCTGGCCCGATCAATTCGCGGGATCGTTAATTTCCGACAATTAATCTGCCGTGGCGCGAGCATTCCAGGTGCACCGAGGTCCTCCGGTGTATGTTTCCCCGCTGTAGCCGCGGACAGAGGCGCAGAGAGGAAAGCGGTGTAAACGTCTTGAACGACGTCACACGGTAGTGCGCTATCGATGGAAAAATGACGCTCGGTGAAAGGATTTACACGCAGTCCAAACGAGACCGGCGTTTTATTGTACCGATATCTCTCCACCCGTGTGTGCTTGCACGTTCTTAAAAGTTCGGCGTCGCGTAGCGGTCGCCTCGATAACTCGATAATACGAACGTCGATAATGCGATACACATCGCGAAGCGAGCGACGCGTGGCTCCGGTTCTGAGGAAATTGAAATTACGCAGGGAAAGAACAAAGATCGGTTGAACGAACGTGGTGAGAACCGAATGCAGTGCATAAGGACCGGAAATTCCGCTTCCTCCGACCGAAACGCGTCTGATTCGTTCATTGTCACGTTAATTCGACCAGTCTTCCTTCTCTGTGTGTAAAACTCGAGAAGAAAGAAAAATAAGGCAAGATCCAGCTTTTGGAATGAACAGGAAAAGACAAAGGAAAAGAAGCTGTCCGGAATGACTTGATCGTGAATTGAAAATTACGGAATTGATGAGATCGCTTTCGGCGAGATTTCTCAGACTGGAATTACGCCACGCTCGCGAGACGCTCGCGAATCCTGCGATTAAGATCAGCGAAGAAGCGGCGGATAGTCGTTAGTGCGCAGCATTTAGAAGCCTGGGTTTCGAATAATTATAATGCCCACCGCTCCTCGTCGGTTCGCGGACGAACGCGAATGTCCTCTTTTTCTTTCCTCGTGTCTTTTTTCTTCCTTATTTTTTTTTTGCTCCCTTAATGTTCTTGTTTTTGTCGTAGGACCTTGAAGAGCTCTAAATAGTTGTACCGGCTTCTGTAAATATTAGACTTTCGTGCATCGGGGTAGGTGCAACGATCAGACGGCAAGGTGGAATACCTTACGATAATTATCGGTGCGAACGAGCGAGACGAACGCGCGTCTCTCATGGTGGAAAAAAGGGGAAATCTTACGGAGACGTTTTGTTCGGATAATGGTGTATCTTTCAACTTTTAAAAACAAATTTATGTATCGTTATTGTTTTTTTTTTTTTTTAAGTCTCTATGATTGATTAATTTGCTGTTACTTAGAGATATAAAAATTCGACCCTGTATGTTGGAACTCGCTCATTTGTGTGACAGATAATTGCCTTCTGAAAATATTTTTCTTTTGACCTTTGCGATATTTCCTGAACTAAAAAAGACGATACAATCGAGGCCGTTTAACATACCTTCTCGTATATATATGTACCTCTTCACGCGTAGTATATTTTTAATTCTAAGATATAATCGATATACTAGATGAATATATATGCCGTATTAGTGATGTTATTGATTCTGTAACGCTGATATGAATCGAGTGCCTTATCTTATCGTATTAGTCATTTAATGCGTAGCGACGATAACATTTTTTCATCAGCCTAAGGTGCTTTCCGACATGCTTTGCCTGAGCGATTCTAATTGAGATCGTAGATCGAGCGGGATTCCTTGCCGATCTAGTCGTTGCACCGAATTGTTGGAATGTATATAACCACGCGCACGTATACATACGCACAACTTAAATAAGAGCCAAGTACACATGTTACAATCTTCGCACATGTCCAACATTATTATGTAAGCGTAACTATAAGCATTACGTTTGACGGTAAGATTTAGCTATATGTTACTCATGAAATTACACGTATTTACGTGCATGTGTAAAAAGAGGTGCACTCAAGTGTATATTATTGCCCTTGGAAACATACTCTAATCTTCCGTCCTTCGTTTCCTGAAGTTGTCAGCAGTTTATAAGAGTAATTACGAGGAGTTGGACGCGATAACAGTGTGATTTTGCTCAGCTAAAAGAGAGTAAATTTTACCTATATAGATTCGTGAATGTTCGAAGTCTCTAAAAATTCAGCAATTTCAAACATGAAGTTTATATTACAATGACATAAGTTGGCTTGTGCTGTTAATTCATCCAATTCTTCGATCGTTTTATCTTTATCTTTTATTGAATTTAATATTTTACGAAACGTTTCAATGTTCATGTTCATATTTCTTTAATATCGATTTATTATTTTTTATAATCTTTTGTATTGATGATAAGGAAGTTACTAAGGACATTTTTAGACATCAAAATATCTAAAGTGCGGGATTTTCAAAAAATATTTAGATATAGAAATGAAGGCATTTCCTTAGAAATATCAGACGCGCGGACGACGTGTGTCCGATAAGTAGCGCCACGTCCTGGATCACTTGTTCTGTTTTACCAAGCGATTTATCTGTGAAGATCATACTTATCATACGCACCGCCGATCACCGCAGAAAACTGGTTATTTGTTAGTAAAATTAGAGTGAAATTTTGCCAAGAATTTGAAGATGTGTCACTACACTAGATCCACTTTTCTAACTTGTTTAAGTATGTTCATGAATGTCATATTTTAATCGAAAAAAAAACTATTTTCTAGAAAATAATCTGACAAACGAGTGATAAAGATCATTCATCGTTTGTTACAAGTTATATTCTTATAAATATCTATCCATTGTAGTAGAATATTAGAATTTTACGGTGAAAAATTCAAGTAATAATTGTACAAACGTATGCATATACCAGAAAGTTTGCAG